TGGTTCCTTGAGTTCTGGTGACTAGTGTTTTTCCAATATTTCTTATGTTGAACATAGCCGGTGCCTTCACGTCATACCAGTCTTTTTTAGAAAATGGGTCAACCCTGGATTTAAAAAAAAAAAAAAATGCTTAAGTTTTCATTGCAAAGAACGTATTGATGCGATTTCTTAAAGTTACCTTATTGAAACACCGTTAACATTAAACGCTATTAACTGGCAACTTAATGCGGGGGGTTTTTCTCTCGCAGTAAGGCGAGGGCCGCAGGTCTAAAGCTACCTCTTCCTCTTCTCTAACTCTCCTGACCCGATCCTCTGAAATTAAAGATTTCTCTCCACTAAGACTGGTCCTCCCACTGCAGCATGTCCTCCAGTACTCTGCACGCCCTGTGAGCTTTACTAGAGTCTGAAGCCATTACCTGGTAACTAACACCCTCAATGGCCGCCTGAGAGCCTGCCAAGGAGGAACCCAGGTCCTACAAGAGGCGAGGTACGGGGTCCCGAACGAACAAGGACAGTGACTCCCTAGACTCCCGCTCTTAAGAGTGGCAGTAAAAAGCCTAAGTTTAGGCGACCCGAGAGCCCACAACACAGCACACGCCAGCCCCGAGATGGGGCGGCCACAAGCCTCACACGCTGCGGACCCGCGAATGTCGAGGCAAGGGAGCCGGCCACCAAGACGTAGCAACCCTGTGAGCCAAACCACCGCGGCCCAGGGTGCCCCGACCATCCTCGGCCCGTGCAATCCGATTGCATCCTAGCCGTCTGGTGCACGCCGCCATCGAGAACCCACCGCTGACTCCCGTAGGACCCCCAAAAAGCAGGGACTTATGGCAATCGGCACTTACACTTTCTTCTTGGCTCCCTTTTTGCCGCCTTTCGTAAGGCGCTTGTTCTTGCCCACCGCCATGGTGCTGCTCAGAGAGCCAAAAGGGTGGAACTATACCTCTCGCGAGAACTTAGGCGTATGGGGCCGGGGCGGGGAGGGGCGGGGCGCGCCGTCTACGTGACCTTTCACCTTTCGCCTTTCCGGTCTGAAGAATATCGCGACAACAGACACGGCTGCCAAGGCAGTTGCGGTAGCTCCCTCGCGTGTCCGGAGGCCGCGCTGCGTTGCAGACTTACTTATTTTCTCTTAGGCTGACGGGGGAAGTAAGTTTCTGAAGAAAGAGACGCCACTCGGCCTCGTTTAAACCTGAACTCTGTACTCCCAGCACTCCAGAGGCTGAAGCAAGAGGATCGTGAGTTCAAGCCCAGCGTGGGCGACGTGAAACCTGTGACGACGGTAGAAACCAACCCCTAGTCACCAATTCCCCAGCAAGCTTTTAAATCTTTTTTTTTTTTGGTACCGGGGATCGAACTCAGGACCTTGCGCTTGCGAGGCAGGAGCCGTGCCACTGAGCTAAATCCCCAGCCCTAAATCTTTCTTTTTAAATTATAAACCTTAATTATGGTACAGAAAAAAGTAAACAACTTTCTTTGAAAAAATATATTTATTGTGAAAACTATAGTTGTGGGGTAGACATGCTGTGGTACATTAAAATGCCTTATTCTGAAAATGAACAAAAGTCCCATTTCCAGTCAGATTATAAAGAAACCTGCACCCAGCCAGCATGGTGCCGCCCCACGCCTGTGATCCCAGCGCTCTAGGAGCCTGAGGCAAGAGGATTCTTTGCAAGTTCCAGCCTAGTTTGGGTAACTTAGTGAGATCTGTCTCAAAAATTTAAAAAGAGGCTATGGGGCCGGGGATTTAGCTCAGTGGTTTCACCGCCTGCTGGGCAAGCACAAGGACCCGAGTTCGATCCCCGGTACAGACAGACAGACAGACAGATAGATAGAGCAAGCTGTGGCTGTAGCTAGCTCATTGCAAAGGCCCTGGGTTCAATCCCCAGTATTGGGGGGAGG